AAAGACAAAATTATCCCCGAACAAATATAGCAGGGATAGTTGTTCAAGTATCGAAGATCCTCCGCATTTACAGTGTCTATCATGTCATTTCTGCAAGAAAGAGCAACAACGTTTCGAAAGATGATACCTGCGACTCATTACTAAGCAACTACAAACGGACATTCATAGATGCGTATGCAAGACAGGACAAAAGAAAAGAGATGTCGGCTTCCTGAGATTGTTACCACTGAAACGGAAAAGAAAGAAGACTCTGCGTGACGGCGAGCCTTTTAATTAGGCTGTCTGTGATCTGCCAAGCATTTTTCCTTTCCTTTCCTTTCCACCTTCCCCAATTTCTGCCGGTCTCTCATACTCGACTCGATCACACTTCACACAATCACACGCACACACATATTCAGGTAGTAATATCATATTTCAAATTTGTTTAGTCTGTACGCGCTAAATAATTCCTTCCTCGCTTTGTACTGTACAAAGTTTGTTACACTACCAATCTTAGAACATGTGTATACGTGCGACACAATGTGTATGAAAAGGATTTAGATTTTCGGCCGAGATCAGACCGAACGAAGCATTCATTTCAATAGAAAAATATTTCTATCGAAATAATACTGGAGAATATGAAGCTAAATTATTTACACGTACATATGCGAGTGTAAATGAGTTCGTCGCGATTCACGCGACGAAGCAATATCTTTCTTCTTCTTCTTTTTTTTTTTTTTTTTTTTTTTAATGATCAATGCGCGATTTGCAATCCCTGCTCTGAAAAAACTAACAATATAGCAGTATCTATCTGACAGATTCACGCGACAACGTGTAATGACATTGAAAATACTCGTAATTCAGATGGTTTCGTTTATAGTCTGAGGAACTCCGGGGCCCCTTTCATCGAGAGCGCATGGAAACGTGAAATGGGGAAGAGCATTGTGGAAGAGGTGAAGGAAGAAGAAGAAGAGAAGAAAGAATCGGTGTTCATCGACGGGGATTCAAAACGTGCAAAAGAGCGAACGCGTGAGCAGAGCGGTTCGAGGGACACACGAGCGATACACATGCACGCCTGTCATCAGTCAGATCTCAATAGGTGTCGGGCCAGGGAAATAAATTAACGAGGTGTTTGTCCTCTATCACCACTCTTTCTCCAAGCCGGATTAAAATCACTCTGTCTTTAATAATTACGCTGGCCGAATACGTTAAATGAGGCGCGCGTCGCGACGCATTTACCACTGTTGCTTTTTGATAATGTTATTTACAGCACTGATTTACAATAGATCACCACCGAACCACGCAATCCACGCGAATTACTCCCTACATTGTATACAACATTTCAGAACAAAAGAGATATAAAATGCGGCGTGTGATGGTGAATCTTATTCGTCACGTTGGAAGTGAAGGAAACGCTTGCTGAAAACGTATAAAGCAAGAGAAGTAAAACGCGCCTCGGACCATTATCGGATATATTATAATTATAAGGCTGTTATGCGATTATGTTAAACGCATTAATTAATATTTATAAATAGGTGAAGGAATAGACACTTTCCAAAATTCCTTAACATTGTTAACATTTAATTGAATTATATACATCTGAATAATAAAAACTATTTCCACGATACATGCAAGACTGTGAAAACGTATCGTTGCTGAAATTCAACATTCCTCTCCGAAATAAGAAATACGTGTATATCTTTTGTGAAAGAGATACGAAGAAATTCATTTTTTTATTTTATAAAATCGCTAGGAAACATCCGCATTGTTAATCTTTTCTTCTCTAAAAAAAAAATATCTAAAAAAAATGTATTATTCGAATGTGATTTCAAATTTTTTTATGATTAATAAAAAATCAATAAAATTATTTAGACTCGAACATTTGGTGATGGATCAATTGAGATCACAGTAGAAAGTATCGTTTTCAAGAAGTTTGGAAGGACTTCAGGATAATATTTTCTATTTGAGTATCAATTATAAGTAAAGGAGATTGTCAAAATCAATTCTAGCAAAATTATAATTAAATAAAAAAGTATATCTGATTTTTTATTCGTATCAAATAAATATCCTTATAACAGTACATACAACATAACATGTAGTATTTATATATTTAGAAACAAATGTTAAATTTCAGCAAACATACATTTTTAGAATTGAACAACATAGACAATTGAGACAGCTTCGTAAATGACCCATAACAGACAAAAGTTTGAAAATCGGACAAATGTATTATAAGAAAGATTTAATTTTTTTCCTTTACAGATTCATTGCACTCTCAAACAGCTCCAACATTCTTTTCATCTCTTTACTAAAAAATAGAAAAGTATTATTATGATTACAGAAACATATGTATACTTTATGCACAATTATTTCAATACTTGCATTTGTTCGGCTAGCTTATATATAGGACCCATAGATTTTGACAATTCCTCACATTTTGCCATTAATTGATACATTGATTTGATATTATGATCCACTGCGTCGCACGTTTTACAAACAGCATCCCTATATGTTTCTAAACAACCTACAGTGAGTGCAGATGCCTGAAAGTAACTGTAATTATATAAAATCTTTCAATATAATCTGATATAAAAGAAATTTTAAACCAAAACCGAAGATAAAAGTAATAATTGATGAAGATAATTTACACTGTGCAGAATGGCTGCCAAGTTTTCTGTCAACGCATCCACAGAGGTGGCCACCTTTCTTGCTTCCATCTCTAATTCATTTAATACATTATGATCGAGAAGAGGCACCTGTGGCGTCAAAGCTTGCCTGTATAAACAGGGAGTGGAACTGCGAGAGCCTGGGAAAGACGGTGTCTCTCCCTTTTTTGTCACAGGACTAGACAGCTTAATTTTGTTTTCTAAGTCCTCGGCAACGAACAGTACCATGTCACCGTCTTGCATTACCGTTCCCTCAAGCTGCAAATATCCCATAGCCTTGTGGTAACTTGGAGGATCTACGTCTTCATCCTCGACTGGACTAGATTCTCTATTCTTTAAACTCAATTGGTCTGGTCTGCCACCAATTCCGTTCATTTTCTCTATACTACCATCCAAAAATCTCGTCCCATCAATATCCGGTGAATCGATCAACGATCTCAACTCCGAAACAGGCGGAGATGATTGTGAATCGAACGATATTTCCGAATACGACGCTGTCATCTCGTGCAGCTGAAATGATTACGGTTAATAATGTTGTCCTCTTTGATTAACTACATTTTGTAAACACAAGCGACAACTTTTTTTTACACAGGATTCGTTAACTCTAACCTTACTCTGTCTTCATCGTAGTCGATGGTCGTGTTCTTCTCGTTACGTGTTGTCGTTCCTTGCTTCGGATATGTCTCCCCCTCGTCTGGTTCCATATTTAACAGACAGCTTATTTTTCCGGTCTTGTGTAGTAAAACAAGCGTCCTCTTTATATGATGTACGTAACAATTGACACAATGAAATAATGCTGTCACAACTATCGATCCTTAAAAGACATTTCTATTGGGATAGTGTGCCTTTTAAAACTGATTTCCTTTCAAAGTTTACGGATCGTTTAAATAAAAGAAGAATAACATAACTGTTTTTCGTTTAACACGAGGTCCAGTATATTCTGACAGTTCGAAAGATTTAATTATATTTATAACAATGAAAACTCTCCTTCGTTGATATATATATATATATATATTTGTCACATGATACACGCGTGAATTTTCAGGTTAGTTATTCGTAGCTGTGTGCTGTGTGGTGTTTGTTGTCAAAAGTAGATGAACTTTCTATATTGTTAGTTGATTGAAAATTAAAACTTAATAACATTTGATATAATGTACTGTGACGTGTTTTTTGACATTTATATTCTTTTTATTCTTGCCGATAGAGAAATTAATCACGATTTGTTCAATGTACTAAACGATATTTTTTATTAATTGAAATTTTTATTTTTCTCCGTTGTAATGTAAATATAAAATGTTTAAAATTTTCTTTGCAGTTAAAACAATATTAAATAGAAGTACACCAAAGATATTTGAAACATACCGAAGATGCACTTTAAAATACCATTATTATCTTTTATCTTTATCACTTTTATAAAACGTGTGTCTCCTCAAAATGATTTTTTCGATGAAGAACTAATGTTAAAACCGTTACCAAGCAATCATGTCTATGCATATTTTCAATTCACTACTGTTTGGGAAACAACAAAAGATGTAACAACATGTAAGTTATGAAATATAAGTTATCAAATATAAGTATAGTATAAGATACTATACTGTTTCAGTTCAACATTCTCATTTATTTCCAAGAGGACTTGGTGAAATTATAAGTCATCACAATGTAGATGAATTACATCTTACGTTAACCAAAGGATTGTGGCATTATCAGAAATGGGGATATCCATATCATGATGCTGGTCCTGGTGCTGAAATAACTACGTGGTTCCACAAGGATGTCAAAAAGTAAAGTATAACTTAGAGTTTAAAGAAAATAAATAGTTTCTAAATAATATACTTTATATCTGTTACAGTGTTGATGATGAATGGAAAGGTTTAACAAATGCACTAGCTGGTTTATTTTGTGCTTCCTTGAATTTTGTTAATCCTGCGAATAGTGTATCTCCAGAATATACATTCCGTCCTACAGGAGTAGTAGATCGGTCAGGAGGAGTAGTAGATGGTGTCAATTCTAGTCATTTGCGCTATTCATCATTACCAAGAGAAATAGTCTGTACAGAAAATTTAACACCATTTAAAAAATTATTGCCATGTAATTCCAAGGTATGTAAAGAATAAGGATTTTTATTTATTTTGTGGAACAGATTCTGTATGTATGATGTTTCAATAGAAAGGCTTGGCAACCTTATTAAAGTCCGCATACATTCACAACACAAATTATCATTCCATTGGAGTACATTTCCGAGTTATATGCTCTAACACGATCTGTACTAAAACATCGTTAGAATTACGTCAATCCGTTTCATTGATATACGACACTGTAACAGATGTATCACAGGTAAATTTTTGACAAAATTTTGCACATTATACAAAATCTTTGATACTCATGTGAATCTTTTTTCAGGATTGGTCAATTCGAAAATTTTTTGGAATGGGTATTAGAGGAGCATGCCCTCTTGCTACATTGAGCAACATATACATTGACATATCTAGTAATAATACTAATCAAATTTATGAATTAGTACCGTCACCAAGTGCGAAAATTGTTAGTCTTCGAGGAGGACAATTAAACGAAATAGCTGTTTATGACATTCGATCGCATTCTTCAAAAGGAATGTTTAATATTCAAGTTTTATATAATACTACTCACACAGCTGGTTTAAATTATCCTTCAATTTTATATGCAAATAGATACATTATTGGTTTGTATAAATACTTATATATAAATTACAATAATTATATGGAAGGAAATAGCAAAAAAGAAATTTCTTTTTGCAGGATATGGACAAGAAAGAGGTAGTTTAGTAACAAAAATTTACAATAATTACTGGCAAACACTCGATATAATTTTATTAGAAAGTATTCCATGGTATTTGCCAGTATATTTACATTCTGTCACAATAACTTGCGGAACAAAAAATATTATACCATGTGAGTAGTTGTATTCACATTATTACAGGCAGTGATTCAGTTATTGTAATTAATTGAGTTTTCTTCTATCTCTTGACTGTTCTTTGTTGTTTTGATCCTCTTAAATCTTGTATATAGTGGCCCAGCGTTATTTACCAGGCAAAGAACGAAAAAGCCCTTACTACTTAGAATTCATTTTACGTTTACCACCGCAATCAGTAACTAAATTCTCTATAGAAATGGATTATTCATTTCTTAAGTGGCAAGAATATCCACCAGATGCTAATCATGGATTTTACATGGGCCCTGCTATAATCACTGCATTACTTCCGATTGCAAGAAATTATACTCCATTACCACTCGATGGAAGTACTATAACGTCAAGGTTAAAATTTTTTTACATTAATAATTCATAACATAATATGCATTATAACACTCAATTTTTGCTAACGACATAATTCAATTTTTAGTTTCAATGCTTCAAGAGAAGGTTATCTGGTACAGTTGAGAACTGAATCTTTATTAATTAGTTTACCTACACCTGATTTCAGTATGCCGTACAATGTTATTTGTTTAGCCTGTACAGCAGTTGCTCTAGCTTTTGGTCCACTTCATAATATTTCAACTAAAAGATTAGTTTTGAAACATGTCGAAATGGATTGGAAGGAGAAATTATTATCATTTTTAATGAAAAAAATCGTTAAACCAAAAAAAAAACAAGAATGAGAAGTGTTTGGTTTTAAGTATGTACGCAATTTTATACAAAACAAAAATTGTTCTTAATACATAAACAAAAAAATGAAGTGCAAACGCGATTATTTTATAATGAGGTACATTAACAAGATCGATTATAAAAAAATAAACGACTTTCATTTCGATTTTATTTGTCCTTTCCTCAAGTTTTCTTTTTTTTTTTGCAATAGTATATAATATATAAAAATGCGTCGGTTATATGATAAACATGGTTTGATGTATTTCTCTTGAAAATATCGAAATTTCATTGATTTCGATATTTTATTTGACAATATCAAATATTTATGGGGATTTTTTTTTAATAAACAGCAATACAATGCAAATAATAAAATGATACATATAACATTTTATACATTTTATGATCATATAAAATTAAAATAATAAATATTGACAAATATAACGCGTATACGATGAATATTACGTATCAAATAATTATAATTTTATGCTGATCTAAGATTTCGGAGATAAATTTGTACATTGTACTATGATACTTGTTTGTATAATTTTCAACATTGTTATTTAAAATATTATCCAATAGCCATTCACTTCTTAATTAAAATTAAAAGAAAGAAGAAAATTTTTCTAACAACGAATCTGTTACATTGTTGGAGACAGACTTTATCGAATCTTTATTTTCGTCTGAAGATGCAGGGATACATGTATTTTCTTCCTCGTCTGAAGAGCAAAGGTCGATCACCGCTATTGTTTCCGACGACTTTACGCACGATTTGGTCTCTTTAATTGAATGAATGGCAGTCGTATTATTTCCATCACAAGAACTTGTACTTTCAGTTAACTCTACATTGTTAATTTTATTACAAGCTACCTTTTCTACGTTTTCTTCCATCGCGTTCGTGTCATTTTCACCACTCGGAGCTTTACGTTTCGAAGAAACATTTGGTCTCGTTCTTTTTTCATCTTTCGTTATCATTTTCTGGTTATTAATTGAAACATTTGGGACAAGACACCGATATTTTGGTGGATTTTGTTTAAGATCGTGTATTTGTTCTTGAGTTAATCGTTTTAAAATAACAAAAACAGGTCGACAAACAACATATAGTAATTGCGATTGTATGCTCAACACTAAAAAGAAGGAATAATACTTGTAATAAACGTATTACAATCTTTATTTTGAAAAGAAGAATAAACAAGATTTTAGGAAACTTCTTTAGAGATGAGGCACTTACTTGGTTTTTTTTTAACAGAATTTACAAATTTGTATTGATGCACATAATCACATGCCACTTTTTCCCGATGTGGCTTATATGTAACATTCCACCTATTGTGATCAACGTCCGCACCTAACCACTTTGGTTTGGTCGAACTATCTAAGACAGGAGCAATAAGATGTCTTTCTATCCTTTCTAGTCTTTCTTGTTGTGTTTCTTCTGTCATTGCTTTTGACTTTTTAGCTTTAGCTAATAATATACCAGCAGGAGAAGAAAAAGGAATAGTCGCACATCTGGTAAAATTTATAGATCCTCGAACACGGCGGGAAGTGCGGCTAATAACGTTATTATTACTATTATTACTGCTATTGTTATTAATTGTAGCACCATTGTTGGTTTTAACTGATTTCGATTCTGATTTGGATTTCATCGAACACAAATGAAAATATTCCAAAAATTGATCTTGCCTTAACTCAGGTTCTACAATTAGAGAATCCGGAGTTGTAGATCGTGAATTACCTCCGTTATGTTCTTGTTCATAACATACACTTTCATGTTCCTACAACGTTATAAAAAATTACTATTAATTTTATTTATTTTCCTTATTCTAACTCATATATACATACATCATGTTTAATGTGTTTACCTTCATTTTTTCTAGGCCTATAAATTCAGCATCACAATTGTCACATAGATAAATATCTCCTGCTGATGTATGTTCAACCCTCACAATGGAATGCTCTTGCTGTTTTGATTTAGCATTGTAGGAAGATATTACCCCACTACAGGATAATAACTTCTTTCGTGAACTTTCATATCTTTTGTCATAATTCTATAATTCAAATTTCTTTTATTTTTTTATAATCTACAAAAATGTTAACATTCTGTAATATCACCAACCATATTTTCATTTCGAAATGTCACCAATAATTTTCCAGTAGTTTTGTGATATAAACTTGTTGTAGAGTCCCAATTGCTAACATATTGTAAATCTTCTTGTGGGTATCGTGCAAGGTACGAACAAAAGCGTAAGAGATATTCACTTCTATGATATGTATAACATCTGAATACTAATTTTTTCAGATTGGCCATCCAATTCTAAAATATAATAAAGAAATTAAATATTTTACTACTGAACAGTAATATTTATTTGTATTGTTACATTGTCAGTAAAAGTAACTCACATCATTTACTCTTTTAGGTCTTGTTAAAGGATTTGAAAATTTAACTTCTTTTGGCCACCACCTTGGTTCACTAATCACTTTGTTAGTATCATAACCCAAGGAGCATTTAACCATGAATGTAACAAAATGTTCTAACTGTTCCTAAAATTAAAACATTCTTAATATTCTTCATACTATTAGTATTTTAGTAAAAAATTTAATTTCTATTAATATATAATTAATATTCATCATAAATTCATCATAAATATAAATTCATCATTAAAATTAATAATTATTATTATTTATTATTATTATTTCATTCTTAAAATTCATCATAAATATAATTAAGAAGGTATTCATACCAAAGTAATTTTTTCCAACGATGTTGGATGTCCATTGGCAAATAAAAGAGGAAGATTAGATACAACAGAAGTTTCCTCGAGATTTTGAAAAGAATTGTTTCCAAATTCCATGGTATCTACACTGACTAATACAGATTCGTTCATTTCATTGGACAACCGATTTTGAGGTAAACCTACCCCGTATTCTTGTTCTTGCAACATTGAGTATTTCATGTTTTCAAAGCTATCTGCATTATTTTCACTACAAAAGGTATATTTTTCACTATAAAACTATTTTGTATGTGCTGTTGCTGCATGGAAAAATATCTTCTTGAAGGCTGTAGACTCTGCGCATTTTGTAAATTAAGATATCAATGAGAAAAAATTTAGTATAAAAGACAGAAAAGACATCTAATCATAAAATCTTCCAGATTAGAAGTTCAAAAGCAATTCAATCATTTTTATTGCAAACAAATATATTGTTTAAATACAAGCAAGTGAAACAAATTGATATGTAGCTATTATCGCAAAGTAATACATGCACATTATTTCTTATTTCTGCAACCAGTACTTATGAAGTACTAGACAATTTTATATATGTAATCCTTAGCCATTAGAAACTGTAAAAACTAGAAAATGAGCAACATAATGCATTTTATGGGCCAACTCGCCATTTACATTTAACTAACATTCAATTACATGATACAGTAAAACACACTATAAAAATGAGAATCGGGCAAAAACAAATACGAAATGCAGATTAAAATATAAAAAATTTAATTGATTTTTCGAATAAAAGATATAAATTCCTGGTTAACAGTCGTATACCTTTCTCAGACTAGTCGATCTCTCTTGTGCCGTATTGTCAAGTTGGTGCTCTTTTCATATGATTGAGAATCTTTTTGATAATCACTGTTTTGCAGGTTGCAATTTGCATGAAATTTATTATCGTTATTATACAATGGATTATCGAGTAATTTTAGGGTTACTACAATAAAAACATATCTCGCATTACCTTCGTGATATTTGCTAACAACTAAAATAGACTTAAAAACGAGTACGTATTCAAATATGCAACCTACGTGTTCCTTTATAAAAGTTCACTATTTTAATCGGCGGGTACGCCGTAAATAGCAAAAACGATATCAGAATTCAAAATTTAGTCTGTACCTCGTTTGACCGAGGCTCGAAAGTGGAAAGGCACGCGTAATACAAATTCGCAGATGTATGTATACATATACTGACAGTTCCCTCCTTCGACGGAATATTTAGCAAACGATAGAGTATGTATAGTTCAAGATGGCGGGACGAATCAGCTCAATTCCCGCTAGCTAACGATTATTCGTACTGTGCATCTTATTTAGTTACATTTCTTCTTTCTTGTATTGCGCTGTACTTTCTTGTTGTTTCAATCCTTTTTGCCGACGATATCAATAGACTGACATGTAAAACGTTTTCTTAATTAACGCAAACAATATCGATAAGCAGGTTCAAAAAGATATTGAGGAGAGACATCGAAATTCCCGGCGGTTCTTCTTTATCAATTCTGGCCAATTCCAAGTACTTACTTGTTGCCATTGACTAAAGACGAAGTAGATATCGCATCATATGAGGATTCGTGTCTCGCATTCTGAAATACCGATTCGACTGTAAAAAAGTTAGAAGGTTCTTTACGCCCCCTGCAATTTATTACGATGGACACAGACGAGGTCACAGACGACGTGATGATATGAATAAACACCGCGGAGGGCCATGTATTTTTTCGGCCACGATTTCGGCGGCACCCCGTTACCATTTTCATGTCGCATCCTGTCGTACCGATTCAGCAAGTTTTGCACCGCGAAAATCAAAAAATATGGACAATTGTTTCGAGAATTATTTATTGAATTGAACGTGGTGGTACTTCAATGAATATAATGATCTGAAAACAGAAATTGATGAAAATTGGAATGAAGAATTTAATGTATGCGATGAATTAAAAGTATTAGAAAAAATTTATTGAAATATTGAAGACCTAGAAGTCTCACAAGGTTGCCACATTTCTGTTACTGTTCTGTCCGTCGACTCGACGAAATGGAATTAAATTAGCAAAATAAGCGAGTTTAAGGATTTTTCGTATGTCTTTGTCCGAGCTCAACCGATCTCGTCTGTGGAATAATGTTACATCTACATCGAAAATTATTAACTTAAACATGAACGCTTTCTTATTTGCATAGCTATTCTTAAAAAACGACCAATTTAATTTTTGACTGTAATATAATTATTTTGTACATAAATTAATATTATATGTCACAGACTTATAAATTAGCACTTAGCTAATTGAATTTCTGCGATGCAATTGTGAATTATGTAGCAAACAATATGAACTAATCGGCCGCGATCACGATTAGTTCTTACATAATTAAAGGTTCTGTCGAGTTGTTAGGGAAATCGTTGATTTCTAAAATTATAGATTGAATTTTTCTATGACAACGTATAGTGCATTTTTAAATATTGTAGAAGACCGTAGACTTTAGATTTTGATGGATGTTTCATCATATGATTTGATAAAATAGACCTATTCCATGTCCTTGATTAAATATCAGATCCATTTTAAATATATTTCAAGGAATAGGACATTCTGTTATAAGTGTTGATTTTTATCTTTTCCAATCGATGAATTCGTAAAATATGAATAGAGCTCTTTCTGACATACACATAAATGAAAAATGGAATAATTTTCAATACTAATCTCGTGCTTTGGAATCTGGAGGTACAATTAAACATTTTGCTTGGTATAATCACAGATGTGCTTTACATTTCGGTATTGAAAGTTTGATGAAAACACTGTAATAGATCATGTTAAAAATCACATTGCTTGCGCATACACTAGTTCCAACTCACCGTTGTTTAAACATAGAGCTAAAAAAATCAGTGATTTTTTACTATTTCAGTTCACGGGCCCGGAGAGTCCGTAAAATCATTGACTAATATCACTCGATTAAAAAGTGCGCGCGTCGCATGTCCATAAGTTGAATATTAAATGAATTGAAATTGAAAACAATTAGTTTTTTTTGTGGTTGTATCCATCTCATTAAATATCCAACTTTCTCCCTTTGCATATTTTGCATTGTTTGAAAATAACATTAATAATTATATATTTGTAATATATATAACTTTTAAATCAGAGAAGGAAATTTTGAAATTTTACGACGATATTTAAGTTTGAAGACGAATGAGTTCGATGTTAACGTATTAGATTTAGTCCCCACTGTTGATAGGATAAATTAATTAAATTAATTACCTAAAATAAAAGTAGAATATGTACGTACGTCATCGAAATGAAGACTTCATATCTCCTCTTGGACAACGATAAAATATTAATAAAAAATATTAATAAAAAAATAGAAATGAAGACTTCATATCTCCTCTTGGACAACAATAAAATATTAATAAAAAATAGGACAGTAATAACAAAATCGATACAATTATCGTTATCAATTTAATACGTAATAGATCTTATTCTTATATTAAATACAATGTAATGTACAATGGTGTACTTGAAAATGATTTTGCTCTAAAAGAGACGTGATATTAATGCGATCTTTTACATTTCTCTAATAATAAATTTTTTTAATTTACCTCATCGTTTCGTTTTCCTCGCTTAAATCAATGGATCAACACTCTTTAAATTCAATAATTACAAGTAGTACGTATTATCAATTGTTTGATCGTACCTTTAAAAAACTAACAATTCATTGTTAGCATCATGTGCAAAGGTTAATAAGATCTATATATTCTACAAGTGGTTGCCTCGATTTTTGGCTAAAATTTTACTTCATTTAAAATGCGAAAGCAATCGTATCGACGATCTTAATTTTTTTTCTTTTTTTTTTTTTTTTTTT